AATCAGCAATTAGAAAAAAACAAACCAAAGCAGCCTGGATGAATTGCGAGAGAATTATGCGATGTGAAAAATGCCCGTTTTGTAAGATCATAAACAGCTTTTTCTCCCTTGAAATGATCAAGTTCTGGGAATGGAGAACAGACTAAAGGCTTCCATGAGTTAAAGACGGGTCTAGAAACATGAGGGAAGAAGTGATGACCGTCAAAGACACGTGTGTGGTTACCAAAGGCACCTTGAGGAAATCCTGAGGCAAAAGACATTTTCTGGAACTCAACGATCAATCCCAATCTCTTTGGTTGGGCTATTATACTATAACTTTGCAGGATATTATCATGGGGGGGATGGGTAGGTGACACAAGGGATCTCTAAGGATTTCCTGCAACGGCATGTGAGTACGTAATTACCTTTCAAAAAGCTTAATTAAAAAGTTAACTGAAATCTAGTTCAAACTGTTCACATCTGCCATCTAAAATAATTACTGCTTCTAAGAGACGCCTCTGCTACAATTTTTACTTTTTTTAGTAGCCCAAAGGTTACAAGTTCATGGTTAAACTGAAGTGTCGCAAATATTTGGAAGGAGCCTTCCTGAGCCAAAGCAAACTGCCTGCAGGAATGTCATCACGGGATACGGACTGGCTTACAAAATAACTGTTTAGCTAAAGTGGATACGGTCCTCCTAATAACGCGCATTATTAGAACTGGATTGAAATTAGGGTTTCTTCGATACTCCACTAGCAAAACTCACAAAAGAAAAGAGAGAGAAGACGCAAATAATCCGAATAAGAGATGAATCAGGTAACATCACAACAGACCCAACTAAAATAAAAAAGCTAACATTAGAATACTATGAAAAACTATACTCAAACAAATATGAAAATCTAGAGGAAATGGACAAATACTTAGAAAAACACAACCTACCTAAACTGACACAAACTGAAACTGAACATCTGAACAGACCCATTACAAAAGAAGAAATTGATCATGCAATATTATTCAAAATGGTTGACTCTGGAGAACATTATGCTGAGTGAAATATCCCAGTCACAAAAGGACAAATATTACATGATGCCACTGTTGTAGAATGGGACTGTCCTTGGGGTTGGGGAGAGACTGAGTAAGATGGGTTCAATAATGTATACTGCACTGAAACAGAGGAGGGAGAGAACCGTCTAAAAGAGAGATGTAACTGGGTATTTCTGTCATCACAGGAGACTAGAGCGAGGGCTGCATGGTGGAGGGGACCTGAGGGAGTGTTTGTAAAACAATGAAAGAATCTTTTCTTTTACTTTTCCATAATTTTTGGACTCATGTACTTATAACTTGTTAGTCAAATTTGTGTCTTCTAGGTTGCAACACCCCCATGATACATCTTGAAGGATATGTACATGTACAGCCAAGCACAATCAATAAGAGTGCATCTGAATTCCAAAATCAATCTCCATAATAGTCTATGTGTTTCCTACTGCCAAAGGGGCCCTTTAGAGTAGTGAGAGATCTTCACCCTGAAACCCACAGCGTCCCTTTTCAGCAGGAAGTAGCTAAGAGAATACGCCGTCCCCTTTTCCTTATGACTCAGGGTGAAGTCTCTCTCAGGGAGGAGTGATAGGGAATGGCAAAGGATACACTGACAAAGAAGATTAATCAGAACTGGCTTTGACAAGCACTGTGGCATTTGGACAAGAACAAACTGGGAGGAGGGTAAAGAGAATAGTGCAACAATGAATGAGCGGAAGCCCAAAATCTCTGTAAATGTTTATGAAAATTAATAAAATATAATTATAGAAAAAAAGAAAAGAAATTAGGGTTTCTGCTTTTGTTTGACTGCTGTTCCAGTCCCTTAAATTCTTCCCCTCCAAACAGCTAGGGGAGATTTCTTTCTTTGAATGTCCAAAAATGTTCCATTGTCATGTGCCGAGTTGGAACTGACTCACAGCCCAGCCTCCAGCGGATTTTCAGAGGCAGGAAATCACGTAAGAGTTGAGAGCCCATCTTTCTCCCGGGGAGGAGCTGGTGAACTCACACTGTACACCTCTATGCTGGCGGAACGATTCCTCCCCACTATGCCCCCAGAGTAGTCCCACATAAAACAGAAATAAAGTAACTATTACTTCATCTACTTCGGGCGTGTTATGAAGAGGGCCCAGAAGAGAACATCAGGTTTGGAAGAGTAGAGGGTCCGTGAAGATGATGAAGAACCTTACATAATGACCACTTGTTGTGTGCAGGGTCCCTGTGTAACACAGGCACCTTGACAGCACCTAATAAACACAACAATCTTTACAGAAACAGACTGCTTTATCTTTGTCCCACGGAGCAGCTGGTGGGTTTGAACAACCCAACTTTTGGTTAGCAGCCAAAGATCTTCACCACCAAGCCAACAAACCCAACCCACACCCACTTGTGACTCATGCCGACGCTCCACTGTACTTCCCAGGCTGCACATCTTTATGGACAGAGAATGCCCACTTTTCTGCTGAAAAGCAGCTGAGGGGTCTGAACTGCTAACCTTTCAGTCTGCAGCCCCACACGTTACACACCATGCCACCAGGCTTTTTGAATGATGAAAGTAAATATAAAACCCACAGCTTCCTGTCACACAAGTACAACATCCCAGGTCCGATGTTTAAAAACAATATTATTATTATTATGCATGGTTCAAAATTATGCAATATAGATCCATGGTGCCTATCTACAGACATCAACATCTCAATCTAGAAACACTGCTGAACGTGTTTAGTGGTTTCTAAATTGGAAATTGTTCTCAAGTTTGGCTCTAAAGTTTATGCTGCACTTCACAACACCAAAACTATTGCCAATTTTTTTCAAAGTGAAAAGTTAAACTGAATGGAATTTGAACACGTGAGCAAGAAGCACCTAGCTGGACACCCCACCCCAGAGTAACAAGTGAAACATTTCAAGAACCAGTTAACAAACAGCCAATCCGACCTGGTAAACAAAGAACGGGGCTGTTAAAAATAATATAGACTGGCAGGAAAGGCAAGGTTAAGGACTTCACCAGCACACACACCATCTGTGAGCGAGCGTCTGCACGCGCTTATGACGGATTGCTTTAAAAAGTCCAAGCAGCTCTAGGAAAAAACATAGACAAGGCTCCTGCTCCTGGCCTGGGGGAGGGGAGGCAGCCGGGCTGAGGCTGGGACAGCTATTTCCCTGCTTTACGCCACACCTCTAACAAGAGGCTCTGGATTGTCTTTCTGGCAAAACATCACAGAGACTCAATCCACAGCAAGAGAGGAGCATAGGCTTCAGACCTCTCTGAGCGCACCAACCAAATCCCTCTGTGGGCACAGCTCAAGCCAGAACCCCACAGCCAGGCCAAAGAACTGATAGCCCTACAGTGGAAAGATCAGACCCCACAAGGGCCTCAGGAAGACAAGGATATCACCTGGAACATGTTCTTACAGGATTGCCTCCACCCCCTATTTGTAATCTATAGCAAAATGCCAGGGAGAGTTTGAATTCAAATTTTACATAGAAAGAAGTCTGCAGACACGCACAATGTGTACATCCTACAAAACCACAGTGGATTGACTTTCCAACTTGGGGTTACCCCTGTTGCCTCCCTGCACTTGCTTGGTGGGCTTGCCCAGTAGAGTTTGCTCAGTAGAGAGGTAACCCCCACCATCACCACTCCTCAGCAAGGGCTACGTACTCCACACCACTGGTACAGCTAGGATGGTGTTAAATGGAAAGCAGGAACTCTGCTAAAGTCATCCATGGCCACACCAGGTCTCAGGGAGGCCAGGACACTCCTGACCTGCATCCAGGTGTTTGCAAGGTGCATGGTGGAGGAAAGCTGGAGGCCGCAGGGAGAATACAGTCATATACTTTGGTCCTTAACTCAGCCAGCCAGTCCAAGCCACAGGGCTCGAGATGGGACACTGAGCACGGCACATGAGGGCTGATGGGTGGGGGGCACACCTACCAGATTCCCTTGAAGGGAAAAGAGTCTGAAATAAACAGAGGAGGGGTCAGGGCCAAAACTTGTGACAATCAAACAGCACCAGCTCAAGCTGTAGCTAGCTCTCTGAAAGGGTCCCGGGGATACTGTGAGAAGCCCCCGGGTTGGAGCTGGTTCCTCCCAGCAGGCTGGTGGCACCAAGGCAGGCAAGAGCCAAGGAAGAACTAGAGATGGCTCAGCACTGCCCCCCACCCCCTGCAACACACATACTCCAGCACTTGCACAACCAACTAGTTACACGCACTCAGGCACGTGGCCTACTGTCTCGTGCACACATACCAAAGTGTGTGCGCATGCAGCTGCCCACACAGCCTCTCAGTCAGGTGCAGACCCACACAAGGCCTTCCGGTGAGTTCAGCCAGACAAGACTGGTCCAAGAGAATGTACGCTGGTTCAGTGGGACAGACACAGAGTCACACGTACATAAACAGACAAACTGTTGGTGAGAATATACATACATGCAACTCTCCGTGGGGGCGCACGCGCACCCCCATATAGCCTTCCACAACCTCTGTTCTGTACATGTACAAAATTACACGCTGTCATGAAAACACACTCTCAAACTGTTAGGTGCGCGCACACACACCCATACAAACATGCATGCACATACAGAACATAAGTGTGCACGCGTGCACAACCTCTCAGGCACACAACACGTTCACAATCTGCTCGGTGCATAGGCAGACTTACAACCTGTCTGCGTGCACATATGCAATCTACCCGTGCACACACAAACGGGGCGCACACATTCACAACTTCTCAATCGGCGCGCGCGCACACTCACACCCAGTGTGCGGCCGCATGCACACACCATCCCGCTGTTCCAGTCGGCACAGTCTCTCCAGCAGGCGCGCCCCCGTGTCCCCTCCGGCGGGCACACCCCCACCCCCGCACCCTTTCCGCCAGGCACCCCCACGCCACGCCGCTGCACCCAGGCCCGCCGGGCGCACCGCGCGAACTCCGGCGACGGCGCAGGGTGTGCACGGCCGGGCCGCCCGCCCGCCGCGCCCTTCCTTACCTTTCTCGGAGGCTCCCGGCGCCCGGCCCTCATCCTCCTTGGGGTTGGTCACCTGGGTGATGATGGCCGGGCAGTCCATGGGTGCGTGACGCGGCGGCCGCCCGCGGGCCCGGCCCCCCGCAAGCGAGATGCGCGGGGGGGGGGCGCGGGGGGCCGGCGGGGCCGCGGGCAGGGAGGGCACAAAGTATGT